AAGTGGTGCCGTGGCTCAAGTGGTAGAGCGCTAGCCTTGAGCTGAAGAGCTGAGGGACAGCGCCCAGGCCCAGAGTTCAGGCCCCACAACCGGACCCCCCCCAAAAAAAAAAAGAAATCCAGAAAACGCAAACATAGGGAGTCACCAAAAAGCTCTCAAATCCTCATTTTGAGGCCATCCCTCCCATTTGAGTCCAGGGCCTGCCAAGTACTATATTACTATATTACTGGGTGGTACTTCTAGATGTCTTTTTTACTAGAGATAAATAAATAAATTGCACACACACACACACACACACACACACACACACACACACACACACACACACACACACACACACACACACACACACACACTTGCTGGGTGATGGTGGCTCATGCCTGTAATCCTGGCTACTCAGGAGGTTGATATCTGAGGATCATGGTTTGAAGCCAGCCTGGGCAGGAAAGTTGGTGAGACTCTTTTCTCCAGTAAACTATTCAGAAAAATCCAGCAGTGGCACTGTGGCCCAAGTAGTAGAGTGCTAGCCTTGAGCACAGAGCAGCTCAGGGACAGTACCCAGGCCCTGAGTTCAAACCTCAGGACCAGTAAAAATAAAGTGGGAGGGGGGAAGGAGCAGGAGAAAATGAAGGAGGGGGTAACACTTCAAAAAGAAATTACCTTACATATGTAACTCTAACTCCTCTGTACATAACTTTTATAATACAATTAAAAATGAATGAATGAATGAATACATAAACGAGAGGTGCACAGTACCAGGTCTTGAATTCAGGACCTTGCGCTAAGGCAGGAAACTTACTAGTCTGGCCATGCTGCCAACCCTACTTCTGCTATTTCCTTTTTTTGAGTTTTTTTTTTTTTGCCAGTCTTGGGACTTGAACTCATGGCCTAGGCACTGTCCCTGAGCTTCTTCTGTTCAAGCATAGCACTCTTTACCACTTGAGCCACAGCGCCACTTCCAGTATTTTCTGTTAATGTGGTGCTGAGTAATCGAACCCAGAGCATGCTAGGCAAGCACTCTGCCACTAAGCCACATTCCCAGCCCTACTTCTGCTATTTCTGAAGGATCTTGACTGAGGAAATGCTGCATATAATATTGGATGTTCAGAATTCATGATAGGAAATTAAAGGCTCTAAGAAGTACTGAAGATGGAAAAATGCTCACTTTAACTCCAGTTTCCTAATCTTTAATGCAGTCTCTCTTGTCCTGTAGCCCTGATACTACCACCCTGGGAAATACTGTCCCAAATCACAGCAGGTGCAGTTTGAATATCTCAACCAAACCTCACAAGGGACTGGACCAAGTAGGATCTTTAAGATGGGACAAGGGGGCTGTGAGGCTGTGAGTATAGGCTAGTGAAAAAAAAGAAAAAAGAAAAAGGCTAGTGATCAGGTCATAGGATTCTATCTCATGAATAGCTTAACATATTTATACATAGGCTGGAGCATAGCTCAAGTGGTAGAGAGAAAGACCTGGAGTTCAAATCTCAGTGCCAGGGGAAAAAAGAGGCTGTTATATAAAAGCCTATCTCTGGGAGCCAGTGGCCTATACTCCTAGATACTTAAGAAGGCTGAGATCTGGGCTGGGAAGTTGGCTCAGTGGCATGCATGAGGCCCTGGGTTCGATTCCTCAGCACCACATAAGCAGAAAAAAAAAAGCCAGAAGTGGCGCTGTGGCTCAAGTGGTAGAGCGCTAGCCTTGAGCTGAAATGCTGAGGGACAATGCCCAGGCCCACAGTTCAGGCTCACGACCGGACCCCTCACTCAAAAAAAAGAAGGCTGAGATCTGAGAATCATAGTTCAAAGCCATGCAAGAAAGTCCATGAGACTATTATTTTGAATTAACCACCAAAAAACCAGATATGGAAGTATGGCTCAAATGATAGAATTCCAGTCTTAACAAAAAAAGCTAAGGGACAGTGCATAGGCCCTGAGTTCAAGCCCCAGTACTGGCACTTTAAAAAAGTCTATCTGGTTCTGTTACGTCTACATGTCCCTCTTGCTATGTGATACCCTGTGCTGCTGGGGAACTCTTCCAAATCCTTTCCATCAATAAGAAGGCTTTGGGGCTGAGAAGGTGGCTCAGTAGTAGAGCGCTTGCCTTGCATGCGTGAGGCCCTGGGTTCAATTCCTCAGCACCACATAAGCAAAAAGAAAAAAGCTGGAAGTGGTGCTGTGGCTCAGGTGGTAGAGCGCTAGCCTTGAGCTGAAGAGCTGAGGGACAGCGCTCAGGCCCAGAGTTCAAGCCCCACGACCAGATCCCAAAAAAGAAGGCTTTTACCAGAGGCAGATGTCTCAACCATGGTCTTTGACTTCCTAGTCTCCAGAACTATAGAAACATCGAATATCAGGCATTCTGTTACAGCAACAGAAAAACACTAAGATGGATCATTTACAATTATTTAATCTCTTCCCTGGAATAGGTAAGAAGCTATACTTTGTTTGAATGAACCGAACACTTAAATTTTTTTTTATTTTAATAGCCATTGTGATAATCCTGTGAAACCTTTCAGTTACAGAAATGTAAAAAATAGCTGAGCGCCGGTGGCTCACGCCTATAATCCTAGCTACTCAGGAGGCTGAGATCTGAGGATCATGGTTCAAAGCCAGCCCAGGCAAGAAAGACTGTGAGACTCTTGTCTCCAATAAACCACCAGAAAACCGGAAGTGGTGCTGTAGCTCAAGTGGTAGAGCGCTCGCCTTGAGCGCTGAAGAGCTGAGGGACAGCACCCAAGCCCAGGGTTCAAGCCCCATGACCGACCCAAAAAAAAAAAATTGGGACCTTAGATACTAACTAAACAAAATTTTAGCTAGCTATATTTTCATTTCAAAATAGAAAGATGCCAGTTAACATTTATACAGAAAGATTTGTACCTTCCCACTTCACTAAGCATCCTTCACACACTAAAAGTAAAGTCCCTGTAGACCTAGGCATTGCCATACCACATATACCATAAAAAATAGAACTTAGCAAAGACTTGGAGGATAAAATCAAAAAGGGTTGTTTGCATGGGGCTATAACTTTTATGAATCTTTTCCTCTAAGAGCTAGAGATTTCTAAGTGATATAATTTGAGGCACACGGTATACGCTTGGTACAATGCCTGGGACATATATGCACCAGGCCCTGGGTTTGATCTCTAGCACCACACACACCAAAAGTGCCTTGTCTACCTTACTGACATCATGATCCCATGTTGCCAGACACAGTATTATAAGACTGTATGATGCAAACAAAGGTATACTGTATGTAGCATGTTAAACTGGATAGCTTACCGACAGCTGTCATTTCACAATCACCATTTAGGTCATTATTGTATGTCACAACTTCTTTTGGAATACTTCTCAACAGAACACTTCTATAAACCTACAGTCCAGAGTGAGGAAAAAGGATTGCTAAGTCATACAAAAGCATGGGACAAACAAAATAAGAAAAACAAATGCTATATGGCTGACAGTCAAGGTTAAAACCTTTATAACTCTGGTAAGTACAGAAAATCTCAACTATCATAGAAGGAATTATGAGGTAGAGATTACTACCCAAAATTTGCTATCTTAGTTTACAAAACAGAAGAAACTAGTAGTAACTACAGACTAACAAGCAGGGTTTATTTTAAAAAGTAGTCCCAAAGTTGGGAGCTAGTCGCTTATGCTTTAAATCCTTGCTACCAAGGAGGCTGAGATCTGAAGGTCACAGTTCAAAATTCTTATCTCTACCACAAAGCTGGAAGTAGAAGTGTGGCTCAAGTAGTAGAGTGAAAAAGCTAAACAAGAGCCCAAAGCCCTGAGTTCAAGCCCCAGTACTGGCACTAACTAAATTTAATAAATAAAGTAATATCAGGGCTAGGAAGGTGGCTCAGTGGTAGAGCGCTTGTCTTGCATGCCTGAGGCCTTGGGTTTGATTCTTCAGCACCACATAAGCAAAAAGAAAAAAGCCGGAAGTGGTGCTGTGGCTCAAGTGGTAGAGCGCTAGCTTTGAGCTGAAGAGCTGAGGGACAGCACCCAGGCCCAAAGTTCAGGCCCCACGACCGGACCCCCCCCCAAAAAAATAAAATAAAGTAAGGGCTGGGAAGGTGGCTCAGTGGTAGAGTGCTTGCCTTGCGTGCCTGAGACCCTGGGTTCGATTCCTCAGCACCACATAAGAAAAAAGCCGGGAGTGGCGCTGTGGCTCAAGTGGTAGAGCCCTAGCCTTGAGCTGAAGAGCTGAGGGACAGTGCCCAGGCCCAGAGTTCAGGCCCCACAACCGGACCCAAAAAATAAATAAATAAAGTAATATCAAAAACTGAAACTTATTCTTCCTTCCTTTTTACTCCTTACACAAGAATAATTTGATCTTACTGGGCTGTTCCTAGAGCCAATTCTATTTTGTCAGTCATGAGGCTGGGAGCTGTCCCTCAGCTCTTCGGCTCAAGGCAAATGCTCTACCACTTTAGTCACAGCACCACTTCTGGTTTTCTGGTGGTTTCGTGGAGATTGGCTTTGAACTGCACTCCTCAGATCTCAGCCTCCTGAGTAGCTAGGATTTCAGGTGTGAGCCACAGCACCGCCGCCCCCCACTCCTTCCCTCCTGCCATCCCATTCTTACCTCCTTTTTGATGGTCACAAGAACATTTCTTTCCCTACTCCTAAAATGTTTCCTTTATCTTACAAACTTGAGGGCACGATCCAGTACCCCTTGTCTTGTAAATTACTGGCATTGTGAGGCTATTTAGGAAGCAGTGCTTGGACCATTTTTTTTTTTTTGTGGGTCTTGAACTCAGGGCCAGAGTGGTGTTGCAGAGCCTTTTCTGTTCAAGGCTAGAGCTCTATTACTTTGAGCCACAGCACTACCTCTGGTTTCCTGGTGGTTAACTGGAAGTAAGAGTCACAGAGCCTGGCACCCGAGTTTCCTGCCTTTTAATCCTAGCTTATCAGGAGGCTGAGATATTAGGATTGTGGTTCAAAGCTAGCCTGGTCAGGAAAGTCCATGAGACACTTATCTCCAATTAACCACCAGAAAACTGAAGTGGCACTGTGTTTCAAAGTGGTATAACGCTAGCCTTGGGCAAAAAAGCTCAGGGACCATGCCTAGGCCCTGAGTTCAAGCCCTAGGACCAACAACAACAAAACAAAAACAAAAACAAGGTCTCTTTGGACTTTCTATCTGGGCTGGCTTTGAACTGCAATTCTCAGGTTCTGAGTAGGATTACAGGCATGAACTTGGCTACTTGGCCCATTTTTGACACATCTTAATTTCACTGTAATGATCTTTAGAGATAATCGAGACTTCTTAGACTTGATTCCTGAGGGAGTTTCTTGAAGAGGCCCAGAAACTATCACAAGATTTAACAAATGCTTATTCTTGGCTTTTAAATAGCTGTATATTACTTATTATTATAGTCTACTCTAGAGATTAAGTGAAACTATTTTGGGTCTCTTAGATATGACTACCTGCCCCATCTTTTTCTTTCTACTTTAACCAAGGCTAGAGAAGAGATCATTATGATCCCTAAGAACAGAGAAACTAGGTTTTTTGTTTTATTTTGTTTTTTTTTTGGTCAGTCATGGGGCTTGAACTCTGGGCCTGGGAGCTGTCCCTGAGATCTTCAGCACAAGGCTAGCACTCTACAACTTGAGCCACAGCACCACTTCTGGCTTTTTCTGTTTATGTGGTACTGAGGAATCGAATCCAGGGCTTCATGTGTGCTAGGTGAACATTCTACCATTAAGCCACATTTCCAGCCTGAGAAACTAGGTTTTTGAATATCCCAAGTCTTTTTTTTTTTTTTTT